CTAATAGTAGCAACCTCGGGGAGTTGCTTTGAAGCTTAAAGCATTTAGGTCAGTGCCTGCTACATAGCAGTAAGGATTCTGTAAATGTCAGCAATCGTTATTATCTTCAGCCCATGCTCCTTGAAGTTCTGTTGAGACTGTGTGTTTGAATTTACTAAAGCTCCCACAATTCCAGTGTTTTCTTCTCTTGTTTTTAAATTTGAGGTGTATGTGTCCCCTTTTCAGCTTTGAAAGAATGTCCTGGCCTTTTTATCTTTTTAAACTCCTGCGAAAACTTCAATTTCAGCAAAGGGCATCTCATCACACTAAGGTCACACATGACAAATGGTCTTTTATTACCTGCTGATTACACTTAACCCTAATTTCTTTCATGACAGCCACGCAGTGCCTTCTATTTAAATAGAGCTGTTCCTGGATGTGACTTTCTGAGCCTCTCTGGGTTTAATTCTAATTTAACTTGCCATGCCAAGTGGGACTATTGTGCAACTGAAGTCATGATTCACTCATTTGTTCTCTCTAGATCTAATTATCACAACGCGATACCTGTGAGGCCCCCTCGGGCGTTCATTCACTACTGTAAATGGCCTAACCTTCTGGGGAAAGGAGCGAGCCTTTAGTTATTGTTCTTTTGAACTGTACAGATGTATTTAGTGTAGAATTTGGGAACACAGTAACAGCCTAGTCTACCTCTACCGTTTTCATTGTGCTAAGCTTATTACTAAGGTTTATTGGAAGAATACCAGACTGGCATATGCAGTAGTTACTGGCACATTTCTTCTATTCTTTAGAACAAGGCCAATTTTTGAAGCACAGAAGTCAGGTTTCATGCCTTTGAGGATACCTCAAGTGCCTGCCTCCTGAACAAAGGGCGTATTGCTCAGAAAGCATTAGGAAGGGCAGAGCAGAAATACCCAAAGTGTAATGAGCTCTGCTCTGTTACCAAACACTCTTTCTCATGGTAGCTCCAGAGTGAGATGGGACAGGATAACATCACCCAGAGTAAGGCTTGTTCCTTTGCCTTTTGCAGCTTTTCTGGATGCTTGCTGGGACCAAAGGGAAAATTCGTGTTATTTCTTTCACCAGCAACCTGCACAGATATCAGTGGCCTCCCACTGAGAATGTTAATTGTAAGCAATACTGTCTAATGTCCTGCTCTTGAACTTAGGGGAAAGACCTGAAGCACTTGTATACGTGTGTGTTTTTAGTGGTTACCCAGATTCCCTGATAGTCAGTAGCCACTTTGAATGAAACTTGGGGAAATGGGTATAGGAGTAAGGAATTGAGTGCCCTTTATCCAAAGGCTTGCAATCAAAGGATCCTCGTAAGTATGAATTAACCAATTAAGAATTAATTAACTGATTGGTTATATGAAATTAAAAGTTAGGACTGCGTGGCTTGGTACATTCATTCATTGTATTTAGCAAACATTTCTTAAATGCCCACCATGTCCTAGGTTCTAGAAATACAAAATTACTTGGTTTCTTGGTTCCAGCACCTTGACTGTCACCTTTCCAACCATGGATTTGGGTCTGTCAAACCCCCAATCCATGGCTGTCATCCACCTACAGTAGAATTATGCCATGGGCCCCCCAGTCCTCCTTGGACTTGGATCATCCTCTCATCTTCCTATGTTCTTTAAGTGTTTATGTATTTCTGGTTCACTTTTTCTTCAGCACCACATTTGCCTTCCTACCTTTCCACAAAGAGATCTAATAAGTACTCTTAAAAGGTACAGTTGAGCCAAAGGTTCTTTGACACCTTCTGAGGATGCCTCTGCCATTTAGAAAGGGGAACCAAGAGAACTTTTACCTGTTGAATGTCATTTCAAAGCCAGCTTTAGTGGATGTAGCCATTCATTGCACATGCCTTCCTTTAAAAATTATTTTTCTATTCATTGTACAAATATGTTTAAGTGATTATTCTTAATAATATTCTGAAACATTTCATTTTAGAATGAGGAAAACCAAGGTATGAGGTCTTATAGCATTAAGACCACCCACCTAACCAGTCTTCATTTTGATATAAATTAAAAACTCTCAGGGAGGCAGTCTCATGCTCTCCTGTAGCCCTTGCTTTTGTTTCTATGCCTACCATATATTTAAGTCGTGGATGGGCTGTGTTGCAACGTTACTTCACTATGGACTGTTTAGTAGTTACTTCGTTTTGATTTCAGATTTATTTTTTACTTTTCTCAGTATACACAAATAGCTAGCAAGATAAATATTAATAACTAAAATCAGGAGAAACCTGTATGTGTGTGTCTGTGCATAGTTACATTTGGACTTCTACATATTAGTGTGTATAAAGAATTGTACAGAACAAAGTGCTCTTATTATAGCCTTTAAGTTGTAATTTGAAGGAAATATATCATTTACTCAGTTTTAAAAGATGTCAAACATTGGGCTGGGCGCAATGGCTGACACCTGTAATCCTAGCATTCTGGGAGGCTGAGGCGGGAGAATTGCTTGAGCTCAGGAGTTCAAGACTAACCTGAGCAAGAGGGGAGACCCTGTCTCTACTAAAAATAGAAAAATTAGCTGGGTGTTGTGGCACACCTATAGTCCTAGCTACAGGCTAAGGCAGGAGGATCACTTGAGCCCAGGAGTTTGAAGTTTCACTGAGTTGTAATAATGCCACTGTACTCTAGCCGGGGCGACAGAGCAAGAATCTATCTCAAAAAAAAAAAAAAAAAGAAAGAGTCATATATAAGCACAAATGAATGGCTTCCTTTCTTAAAGTCCCCAGTGCCAAGATCCATATTTATTTTCATGACTGTGTATTCAAGAAATGAGTTACCATTGCCCTGTGATAGCACACACAGTCTTATTTGTTCATGGGATTACACCCAGTGACAAAAACATAGCTTGTCAGGAGTGACTAAAGCTGTTCTTACATGGGGCAGGCCAGTCACACTATTTTGACTCTTTCACAATAGGCTCCAATCCCTGCAACTGAGTCAATTATGTGGAAAACCACAAATCCACATTGATTGGTAAGAAAGCTGGAAAAAAATGTCTTAGCCATACCCAGCATATGTTCTTTCATTCTCCTAATATAGATCTTTCATAAAACTGTTTAAGACGCAGGTAGATGAACATCATTTATATTTACTCTTGCCTAGCTTAAAGCTTTGGCTGCCTGTGTATTTGTAAAAGAGAAAAGATACATTGAAAACTTAAGAGGCATATGTGCATGAGACATTTAAAAAACGTTCACTGGAGCAATGTAAAAGTATAATATTAGAAATAGTCCATATGTGTAATCACTTATGAAATAGATTTTTAAAACTCTGGGATTAATATTCATTGAACTACTACTACCATATTTCATATAACTCAATTAAGCAAACTACAGCCAAATATAGCCCACTATTTTTGTAAATAAAATTTTGTTGGAACATAACCATGTTCATTTGTATGTATACCTATAGATGCTTTCAATATATATTGCATAGTTGATTATTACAACATGAAACTCAATGGCCCTCAAGTTGAACTAAAATATTTGCTATCTACCCCTTTACAGAAAAAGTTCACTAACCCCAATGTGAGATGAAATGTCATCTATTCCTAAAATGCACTATTCCTTTATGTAGCACTAATAAAAAAAATTATGCCAGTTACACTATGGCAAGCCATCAATTGTAAGAAGCATTCTGATTTTAGAGATGTTAAAATATGGAAAAAAATAGATCTTAGAATCAATAAGTTAAAGTATGTAGTACTTCAAATAAATGAATTACAGTGTTTGCATCAACATGGATAAATCTGAGATGTTTAATGTTGAGTGAAAAACTCATTGTGATGGAACAATTTACAGAATGATGTGAATAGCATAATATTTATATGGCTCTTATAAAACATAAAACTATGAATTTCTATTAATGCAGTTATGTGTAGGTAAACATAATTAAAGAGAATTAGAAGGCTCTAAAAAAACTGATTATAGAGGCTTTTCCTGGAAGGAGAAGAAAAGACCAGGACAATGGTAGAAAACAAAGGGGGAATTTATTATCTGTAAGTTTTTTAAAGAGGTGATTTATTAATAATTAATTTTTTAAAACATGAAAAGCTGGAAGAAAATATGTCAAAATATTAACAGTGGTAAGTTTTTCATAGTAGAAATATGGATGATTACTTCTTTAAATCATATTTCACTGTAATTTTAAAGAATGTCATGGATCACTAAAAAGAAAATGAGTCATATTCTTTATTTCTGTCTCAATCAAAAAAGATTAAGGTTTGAAAAAGTACACGTTAATGAATTACCTGACATTACAAACTAATCCTGTTTGTCTACTGGGGCATTAAAATTAAACAACATGCAAGTCAGGGCCAAATTTCATAGTTAAAACTTTTTTTTCATAATGGTGGTACAGGTAATCTTTAAATACAATGCACGTTATTCCTCACCACAAAAAAACACCAAGTAGAAAAGTTAAATGTCAGGTACATTTCACCAAGCAGAAATAGCTTGTCGTGAGTCATGTTATTGATGAACTGATGTCATTTTTTCTGCCTGACCTCACTTGTTTTGAAATGTACCTTATGATTTGACCCAAGTTTGTATGTTGTCATATACAACCCAGATCCCCCTGTATACTTATTAAATACATTCATTTTGTCACTTGTCTGTTAGCAGGGCTTCTTAAAAGATTCTCCATAAGGATATTCAGAAGTTCAAAACTGGGATGTTAATTTACCACCACCAGATTGTTTCTTCTGATAATGGGGATTTACTCACCTACCACTGCTTTCATTTAGTCTTAGTGTTTTGTTGTTTAGTGTTGTTGTTTTAAGCATGTCTTTCTCTCCCTGGGAGTGATTTCACCAGAAATAAGTCACGCTGCCTGCCCACCTCTGGGGTCAGGAAATGAGATGCATCCAAGTAAGGGGCAGCGGGAAATGTGGTCACAGCGGCCTCGAGTCCGTGAAGCTGTGAGAGTCTGTGACTATGTTCTGTTGCCTCTCCCCACATAACTCTGCTTTTTCTTCTTCCAGTTCTATTTCACCATTTAGTATCGAGAGCACAAGACGCCAGAGACGGTCTGAGTCCCCAGACTCCAGGAAACGGCGTATCCACAGATGTGATTTTGAGGGCTGCAACAAAGTCTACACAAAAAGTTCTCACCTGAAGGCTCATCGGAGGACACATACAGGTAATAGCCTGGCAGGGGCCTCACCTCTGAAAGTCACAGGGAGTCCAGGAAGCGCCAGCCTTTGGCGTGCTAGGTGGCTACTCGCCCATTGTACAGACACGTTGAGTTCAGTTCCTTCCTTCTAGGCCGAATGTATTCTCCCTCTCATATGGAAAAGGCTTAAGTCTTAGTGGACTTTAGAAACCCATGAAATGTTTCTTAAGGGCTTTTAAAATGGCAGGAACACAGTGATCTAGGAGTCTTTTTCATAATCAGTGCCAGCACTTAATCATTATGTAGTTTATCCAGTTTAAAAAATGGCTACCTGGCACATCAAACAAGAAGCCAAACAAAAGTATTCTTTTGGGAAGCGGGTCTCACACTTACACTACCTCTTCTAGGAAAAGTGACTAGGCCGTGTGAAGCCCAAAGAAGCAGCTAGAACAGGGGAACTCATTCACACACATTCCTGGTAAAACTTGCCGCAGAACAAGCAAGCCCCGCCCCGAGTCTGTCCTGGACAGTGTTTGGAAACCTTAAGTGCACTGGATTCCCAGCTCAAACCTGAAAACAGCCACACTGTGGAAGCTGCTTCCCAGCTTAGGAAGCAAAATTATTTGAATTGGCATTCTTTGCCATTTATTTAGCTCATATTATTCTATTAGGGGACTGTGTCGTCTTTCACAGAAAACAAGTCACAGACTATTTCCAAAGCTGCTTTTCAGAGTCATGACTCTAAATTTCAAAGCTGGGCATCATTTTTTTTTTTTTTGTCTGCAATGAAATTATGGCATGGGAGGGTTGCCTAAGTCAGAAAAACATGAGGCAATCTGGGATTTACTTTTGCTCATTTAACATGTTATATTTTTAATATTTCTAGGATGGTTAAGTCAACACATTTTTCACATTGCCTCTTCCACATTTCCTCTCTGCTCCCAACCCATTTCCCTTTTCTACTTAATTCCCAGATCCTTCTGTCTTCCAGGATTCTGAGCTTCCCCATGAGAAGTTTGCATCTGTCTCTTAGGCACTATTTTAAAATGAATTTCTTTATTTTTAAGGCAAAGAATGAGTATAAAGGCATGGAAGTTAATAAGCATATTCCATCCTATCGAGAGATAGCACAAATCATAGCAGGAAGTGTGATTAGGCCATATTACTGACTTTTTATGGGAGCATTTCTGTTAAAAATAAATGACCTTTCTGCAGTGAATCATCACGTATTTTTGAGTTACTCCTATTCTCCTTGAGCTTTCTGGAATATATATTAGCCTCATTTCCACACAGACACCTCTATCCCTGTTATCCAAGTGATGAACAGTGAAAGAGAGGAAAACTTTTAATCAGGTACTATTCAAGGGTTTAACGCCATGGCCTCATAAGATTGCATCTTACAGGTTTTAACACATACTATGAAAGTATAGGAGACGTAGACATCACTTATGCATTACAGTTCTAAACAATATAAACCTTGATGCTGAAGCAGAATTAATTAGCTTGGCTTATGAATAAGATGAAATCGTAGGCTCCAAGGTTCAGACTGGACTTTATATGCCAGAATCTAGTATGTTTTTTGATTAGGGGAACCCTCTGCATGTCATCTTTCATTCTTGCAGTGAGTCACTATTGTGCAGTTTTCTGCACACTTACATGCATTTTTTTTATTTGATCCTCACAATAACCTGGTGGTTGTAACTGTTATTATCTTTTTTGCACAAGAATGACTTCTGGCTGATATTATTTTCACAGCAGCAGTTTTCCTACCTCTCCTTAAACACTTTGAGTGACAGCTTATTCTTCTGCAAGACAGGTTGGGTGAAATTTGAGGATAGCATCCTTACCTCCTACAGTCTTGAATTGTCTCTAATGGCACTGTTTAGGTATTGGAGCATGTTAGTTTGATGGGATGGCTCTATTGATCACACTGTACTTTTTCACACCTGGCTCTCATATTCCTCTCAACACTGTCATGGACCAACTAGCTCTTCATTTCCCCAAATCAGACACCTCCAGTTCTCTCATCCATGTCTTTCTGTATACACTGCAACTGATCACTCTGTCTTTTAAAGTTTTCAAACTACAAGTTGAGGGAAGAGGACCTGTAAATGGACTTCTTTTAATACACACGTGCCTAGAATTGCAGGTTCAATTCCAGACTGCCCCAATAAAGTGAATATCACAATAAAGTAAGTCATATGAATGTTTCATTTTCCCAATGCACATAAAATTTATGTTAACACTAAACTACAGGTACAGTCTATTTAGTGTGCAACAGCATTATGTCTAAAAATAACAATGTATATACCTTAATGTAGAAAGTACTTAATTGCTAAAAAATGCTAACTAAGCCTTCAGTGAATCATCATCTTGTTGCTGGTGGAGGGTCTTGCCTCAGTGTTGAAGGCTGCTGACTGATCAGGGTGGTGGTTGCTGAAGGTTGGGGTGGCTGTGACAATTTCTTAAAATAAGACAGCAATGAAGTTTGGTGCATCAATGGACTCTTTCTTTCACACAAGATTTTTCTGTTGCATGAAGTGATGTTTGATAGCGTTTTACCCACAGTAGACTTCCTTCAAAATTGGAGTCACTCCTCTCAAATCCTGCCTGTTGCTTTATCAACTAAGTTTATATATTAATAATATTCTAAACCCCTTTTTGTCATTCCAACAATGTTTACAACACCTTCGCCAAGAGTAGATTCCATCTCAAGAAAGCACTTTTTTTGCTCATCCATAAGAAGCAACTTCTCTGTTCAAGTTCTATCGTGGGATTGTAACAATTCAGTCCCATCTTCAGGCTCCACTTCTAATTCTAGTTCTCTTGCTGCTTCCATCACACCTGCAGTTCCTTCCTCTGTTGATGTCTTGAACCCCTCTAAGTCATCCAGGAGGGTTAAAGAACTTTCTTCCAAACTCCTGATAATAGTGATATTTTGACTTTTTCCCACAAATCTGGCATTTAGAGTGGTGAATCCTTTCCAGAATGTTTTTAATTTACTTTTTCCAGATCCATCAGAGAATCACTAGCTATGGCAGCTATAGCCTTGCAAAATGTATTTCTTTGACTTAAAAGTAGAAATGACTCCTTGATTCATGGGCTACAGATTGGATGTTGTGTTAGCAGGCATGAAAGTAATATTAACTTTTTGCACAGCTCCATCAGAGCTCTTGGGTGACCAGGTACATTGTCAATGAGTTGTAATAGTTTGCAAGGAATCTTTTTTTCTGAACAGTAAGTTTTAAAAGTAGGCTTAAGATACTCAGTAAAGCAGGCTGTAAATAGATGTGCTATCATTCAGGCTTTGTTGTACCATTTGTAGACCACAGGCAGAATAAATTTAGCACAGTTCTTAGAGGATCTAGGATTTTCAGAGTGGTAAATGAACATTGGCTTCAACTTCAAGTCACCAGCTATGTTATCCCCTAATAAGAGAGTCAGCCTATCCTTTGAAGCTTGTCCTAGCTATGAAAATCCTAGATGGAATCTTCTTCCAATAGGAGGTTGTTTCGTTAATCTATCTGTTCAGTTTAGTCACATTCATCAATGATCTTAGCCAGATCTTCTGGATAACTTGCTGCAGCTTCTACGTTAGCACTTGCTGCTTCACCTTGCACTTTTATATTATAGAGATGGCTTCTTTCCTTAAACCTCATAAACCAACCTCTTCTAGCTTCAAACTTTTCCTTTGCAGCTTCCTCACCTCTCTCAGGCTTCATAGAATTGAAGAGAGTTAGGGCCTAGCTCTGGATTAGACTTTGGCTTAAAGGAATATTGTGGTTGGTTGATCTATCTAGACAACTAAAACTTTCTCCCTATCAACAATTAGGCTGTTTCACTTTCTTAGCATTCATGTATTTACAAGAGTAACACTTTTAATTTCCTTCAGGAACTTTTCCTTTACATTTACGATGTGGCTATTTGATGCAAAAAAAACTAGCTTTCAGCCTGTCTCAGCTTCCCATGTGCCCTTCTCACTCAGCTTAATTTTTTCTAGTTTTTGATTTGAAGGGAGAGATGTACAACACTCTTCCTTTCACTTGAACATTTGGTGGCCACTGTAGGGCTATTAATTGGCTTAATTTCAATATTGTTGTGTCTCAGGGAATAGGGAGGCTCAAGGAGCAGGAGAGAGCAAGGCTGGTCAGTGGAGCAGTCAGCACACAGCATTTATCGATTAAGTCTGTCTTATATGGGTGCAGTTCATGGAACTCCAAAGCAATTACAGTAGTAACATCAAAAGTCACCGATTATGTTATCACCATAAAAGAGATATAATTATAATGACAAAAGTTGAAATATTGCAAGAATAACCAAAATGTGACACCCAGATACGAAGTGAGCACATGGTGTTGCAAAAATGGCGCCAGTAGTAGACTTGCTTCAGTCAGGATTTCCGCAAACCTTCAATTTTTAAAAATGCAATATCTGCAAAGTGCAATAAAGTGCAGCTCAATAAAATGAGATATGCCTGCATATGCAAATATGTTAAGTCATTTAGCAGTTGACTCTCTGTTACATCATCTAAATCAAGAACTGCTGACAACTAGATCTCATCTATCCCCTGTACCTGTAACTGATTTCCTTTAAACCTAAGCAAGCAAAGTTATATGTATAGTTGGAGCTGTCCCATAAATGATGGCTTCCTTTGGGAATAGTGAGTTCTCTATTACTGAAAGTGTTTAGACAGTCTGGAGAGACAGAACAGACTCATTTTTCTGAGGGTTGCATGTACTTTTTCAAATTTGGAAAATAATTTAGAGTTCTATGTCCATTTTATCAATCTGGGCCCATTATTCTAATAAATTGAAATTATTTGAAAATCCATCCCACCCACCTTATTTTTAGTATTTTCACTCTTCCCTTTAGCATTTCTGTCATTGCCAGGTAATTGATGCAGGTATTGAATACGACAAGTTCCAGGAAAATGCCCTGATCCTAGAGACCTCCATTCAGCCAGGAATCCACCAAATTGTCCTACCCTCGGCCCACATTTCTCTGTTTCCATCAAAATGTCCTTTGAA